TGTTTAATTAAGAGGGTTTTTTTGGCCTGGTGTACAAACCCTGTTTAATTAAGAGGGTTTTTTTGGCCTGGTGTACAAACCCTGTTTAATTAAGAGGGTTTTTTGGCCTGGTGTACAAACCCTGTTTAATTAAGAGGGTTTTTTTGGCCTGGTGTACAAACCCTGTTTAATTAAGAGGGTTTTTTGGCCTGGTGTACAAACCATGTTTAAGTAAGAGGGATTTTTGGCCTGGTGTACAAACCCCCGAGTCTTATTTATTTACTCTTCTAAATGTTTTCAACACATTTCTAAACACTTTAAATTAATGCTTCCTTTTTTAACTTTCAAAATATTTGTACAAGCACCTGAAAATAGAATATTTAAATAATTCCTTCTTTTTAAAGATCGATAATTTTATATTTACAGAAAGGGGAGAAAATGTTACAAGTTTAATTTTAACAGTCACAAACTTATACTTCAAATATTGTATGTAAAATGGTATGTTGTATGTAAAATGGTATGTTGTATGTTAAATAGTATGTTGTATGTTAAATGGTATGTTGTATGTTAAATATTATGATGTATGTTAGATATTATGTTGTATGTTAAATATTATGTTGTATGTTAAATGGTATGTTAGATAGTATGTTGCACGTTAAATGGTATGTTAGATAGTATGTTGTATGTTTAATACTGTGTTGTAAGTTAAATGGTATGTTACATAGTATGTTGTATGTTAAATGGTATGTTGCACGTTAAATGGTATGTTAGATAGTATGTTGTATGTTTAATACTGTGTTGTAAGTTAAATGGTATGTTGCATGTTAAATGGTATGTTAGATAGTATGTTGTATGTTAAATGGTATGTTAGATAGTATGTTTTATGTTTAATACTGTGTTTTAAGTTAAATAGTATGTTGTATGTTAAATAGTATATTGTATGTTAAATCGCATGTTGTATGTTAAATACTCTGTTCTTCTAAGTTAAATGGTATGTTTTATGTTAAATAGTATATTGTATGTTAAATGATATGTTCTAAGTTAAGTGGTATGTTGTAAGTTAAATAGTATGTTGTATGTTAAATACTCTGTTCTTCTAAGTTAAATAGTATGTTGTATGTTCAATACTGTGTTCTAAGTTAAATGGTATGTTAAACAGCATGTTGTATGTTAAATAGTATGTTCTAAGTTAAATAGTTAGTTGTATGTTAAATGGTATGTTCTGTGTTAAATAGTTAGTTGTAAGTTAAATAGTATGTTGTATGTTCAATACTGTGTTCTAAGTTAAGTGGTATGTTGTAAGTTAAATAGTATGTTGTATGTTCAATACTGTGTTCTAAGTTAAATAGTATGTTCTAAGTTAAATGGTATGTTCTGTGTTAAATAGTTAGTTGTATGTTAAATAGTATGTTCTAAGTTAAATGGTATGTTCTGTGTTAAATAGTTAGTTGTATGTTAAATAGTATGTTCTGTGTTAAATAGTTAGTTGTATGTTAAATAGTATGTTGTAAGCTAAATGGTATGTTGTACATTAAAACACCAGTTTCCAAATACCATTATCTTTTTGGTCATTTATTTCGGTTAATTTTTGTTTACTTCTAGTTTATTATCACTGCAAGTAGTTTCCAAGTCAACTACTAATCTGATTCCTACTAGCTGATACTCAGAACCAGAAGTGTTGCTAGGTGCTTAAAATTTGGGGCACTATCCAACAGAATCAGGGCATAAGCTCCATGTGCCAATGCCTCTGCCCAGAATGTTCTAGTTTGATATCAACTAAGTGATTTCCAAATTACCTAATTGCTAATCTGATTCCTATTGGAAATTTTGTTCATCAAGTACATCCACCAGCAGAAAGTGAAACACTCAAGATTAATCATGGTTGACATAAAATGTAAAAATATTCAATTACAACAGACAAACCTCTTCATTTCACTTTACTTTTAATTAAGCCAACAATTTCATGGGGATTTTTTTTATTTAAAATTCAAGACTTTTCCAGGACTTTTAGAGCTAATTTTCCATGACTTGTACAAGGAAGTCTCTGTTTCTACCAAGAAAAGCTTCAAAGTGAAATTTACCAAGAAAATAAAATGATGAAACTACATGGTTAAGGAGGTATAATTTCTGTTATGAAACTAATGAACAGAAACTTTATCTTACTCATTCATTTATATATATATAAACTTTATCTTATTCTTCTATTTATATTGATATATAGATACAAACTTTATCTTATTCATTTATATATATTTATATATATAAACTTTATCTTATTCTTCTATTTATATTGATATATAGATACAAACTTTATCTTATTCATTTATATATATTTATATATAGACACAAACTTTATATTATACATTTATTTATAGACACAAACTTTATATTAAACATTTATTTATATTTATATATAGACACACAAACTTTATATTAAACATTTATTTATATTTATATAAAGACACAAACTTTATCTTACTCAATCATGTATATTTATATACAAACTTTATCTTATTTATTTATATATATATATATATGTGTGTATGTGTGTGTGTGTGTCATAAGAAAACTAAAAAGTTTACATATCAAATGTCAATGTAAAATATGAAAGCAACATCAGTTTTGTCTGTAATTTTGTTAATCATACTTGTTGGTGTGACTGTACTTTATAGTCACAATGTGAAAAACCTATACATTGGATAGATGAAGTAAAGAATAAGTGTCATTGGCCACTATTCGGTTCCTCACGTTATATAATCGTACAAGAGATAAACTTAGTATTCTGGAATACTAAGTTTATTTATTATTGTCATTTTGTTGTTCTTGTGCCAAAACAGGTTATCCAAATGTAGATTATATACAAAAAACACTTTAATTGTTCTTTTTTTTACCTATTTACAGTTATTCAAATCCAAAATCTCTTTCTTTTTTCTACAATAACATTTTAACTATAAAATTCAAGTCAAAAATTTCACAAAATAATGAAAATACAGTTTTAGGAAGAAGAGTGGTTGAAGAATGGGTTTATACAACTCCCTTTTTTTCTCTCTTTCAAACATGTATGACAAGCAGAATACTTCAATAATACTTAATACTTCACAGTACCATGCATTTTCCTAAACAATTTTCATCGTGACAGTAAGTCGAGCATGATTACTATCAGAATATAAAATCACATTAATAACTCAGTACAATTATAATTTAAAAAAAAGGGTATTACATCACATTTATCCTTGCTTTTCAGGCTGAGAAAAAGAAGATACTCTAGCCTGCTGTTGAACATCAGAGACTTAGAAGAATATAAACATTACCAATTGAAATCATGACACAGTAATAAATATACAATGATCTGTATACCCACAACCACATTATTAACAGAAACAGACATAGTCACAACAAGCTTACACGAGAGTCATTAAAAAGTATTTCAAAACTGAAAACTAATTATCCTTTATACTGGATTACTTTATCATTTCAAAAATAAGCTACAATAAGAAGTTCAAATCTGAAAAACTAAATTCTTAAACAAAATAAAATAATACACATAAATATTCATTGTTTCACAATCACATAGGCAACTTACAAAATATATATATATTACGTAAACAGTAGTAGCCTTCATAGTTCTATAACACATACACACGCGTACATTTCAAAGTTATATCAGACACAATAAGCAGGTGCTATGCATTAACCACCCTGGATACATTATACACTTCTACCAATATGTTGTTAATACCTGAAACATTTAAAACGTGTGTTATCACCTATGAAGCACACTTTTATCAATCTGTTGTTAATATTGGAAACAAACGTGTCATTATCAATCTGTTGTTAATATTGGAAACAAACGTCTCATTATCAATCTGTTGTTAATATTGGAAACAAACGTCTCATTATCAATCTGTTGTTAATATTGGAAACAAACATCTCATTATCAATCTGTTGTTAATATTGGAAACAAACGTCTCATTATCAATCTGTTGTTAATATTGGAAACAAACGTCTCATTATCAATCTGTTGTTAATATTGGAAACAAACGTCTCATTATCAATCTGTTGTTAATATTGGAAACAAACATGTCATTATCAATCTGTTGTTAATATTGGAAACAAACATGTCATTATCAATCTGTTGTTAATATTGGTAACAAACATGTCATTATCAATCTGTTGTTAATATTGGTAACAAACATGTCATTATCTGCCAAACCTGAACTTCATGTAATACTACTTTTCCAAGTTGATATTCTAAACCTGTATAACTTGAAGTGGCTATTACAAGTCAGATTTATGAGAACTGAGAACTAGTCCATAATGAAGGTGTTAAATTCTTAGAAATATAGTAAGCCACATGTATTTCTATGTAATATCACACAGAAATAAAAGTGGTCCTACTACAATCAACTCAAAAATGTTCACCTTAAACATCATTGTACTAAAATGAACTTAACGGAAACAATGAAATCGATTCAAAGTATCTTTCAACTTAAATTCAAAATAGTTACATTTTTATATAACCAAAACTTTAAACAATTGTAACTGTAGAAATAACAAATGCACTGATAGTTATTATCAAGTGCCGAAAACTGAATTATACAAAGATTTAAAATCAAAATACAAAACCTCATACCCATTAGTAAGTGGTTCTACAACAAAGAAGTTCTCATTGTCAAATCTAACACTAAGCAATTAACTTAAAAATAGAGCAACAGGTATGTATATACATGGTGTCCATAAAGTCTGGAGACATAAGGAAATGTCCTAACTTTTTATTTATTTATTTATTATATGTATTTTGACCTACTGTGAAAACTTTTGGCATCACCTTCAAAAATGTATTGACGCAGGAAAAAAAAAACACATTATAGCTCCAATATACAACTTTTTTAATTGCCTTATGTTTTCAGACTTTATGGACACCCAATATATCTTGCTAGTACTAGGAACCCTCTTATGGGTAAGTACTGAAATATATTACAAATATTTTTATTTCCAGTACATTTCTCTTTGTTCTTCACTGACTGTTTTGCGAGAAAGAAAAAGCAATGCCTATACATCTTAAGTGTGAGCCACATTATAAACTATAATGAAAGGTAAATTTTCTCTAACTTCATTTAAAAAAACTGTTGTTGTTGTTTATTAACTTTTCTTGAATGGAAAGTTGCACATTTACTCCACATAGAGGCACAAAAAGATCGGAAGATACGTATACAAGTTTTGTACAGATTCATTTCTTAAAGTTGTACTACTTATGAGAATTATTCTGATCTAATTCGCAGTTTTCTTTGTAAATTGCTGTTATAGAAACATTGCTGTTTACCAAGTAAATAGACTTCTCATTAAGCACATTTCTGTTGCATGTTTAATACTACCACGTGACGGGTTTATTTCACTAATTTAACACCATCACATCTGGCAGATTTTTTATAACAAAACTCAATTGTTTGCAAACTGTGTTTGTTCCTACATATTTGATACATGTAAGGGTATTATGAAGTGGTTGTATACTGTGTTTGTTACTAGATATTTAATACATGTAAGGGTATTATGAAGTGGTTGTATACTGTGTTTGTTACTAGATATTTGATACATGTAAGGGTATTATGAAGTGGTTGTATACTGTGTTTCTTACTAGATATTTGATACATGTAAGGGTATTATGAGGTGGTTGTAAACTGTGTTTGTTACTAGATATTTGATACATGTAAGGGTATTATGAGGTGGTTGTACACTGTGTTTGTTACTAGATATTTGTTATGTGTAAGGGTATTATGAAACTATGGTATAAACATTGCTATCCTCACATCCTAGGTTTTTATAAAAGAGAATTTTTTACTTGTGTGTGTGTATTTAATGTGTTAAACAAAATGTGAAAGTAGCCATGCAAAAGAAAGGAAATAAAAATAATTATTTCCTCAAACAAATTTATCTTTCTTTATAAGCAATCTATTCTCAAGTTCATAAAAAATACAAGATTATTATCTTATAACCTTTACTGATCAAAGACATGACCCAAGGTTCAACAAATCCAACGGAAACTCACAACCGTCAAGTTGATGTCTGAGGATTTTAGTTAATCACAGTCTTCATGTAGAATGCAGAAAGAAACATACCAACATGTTAACCTTAAATCCTCAAGTCAAGGTGTGATGACAGACATAAACAACACTATTGAGGGTTAAATACCATGTCACTAACCTCCAGTAAAAATGTTGACACAGACATAACCAACACTACCGAGAGTTAAATATCATGTTACTAACTTCCAATTAAAGTGTTGACCAAGACATAACCTACACTACTGAGGGTTAAATACCATGTCACTAACCTCCAATTAAAGTGTTGACCAAGACATAACCTACACTACTGAGGGTTAAATACCATGTCACTAACCTCCAGTTAAAGTGTTGACCAAGACATAACCAACACAACTGAGGGTTAAATACCATGTCACTAACCTCCAATTAAAGTGTTGACCAAGACATAACCTACACTACTGAGGGTTAGATACCATGTCACTAACCTCCAATTAAAGTGTTGACCAAGACATAACCTACACTACTGAGGGTTAGATACCATGTCACTAACCTCCAGTTAAAGTGTTATGACACAGACAAAACCTACACTACTGAGTGTTAGATACCATGTCACTAAGTCACTAACCTCCAG